CTCAGTATATAGTCATGCTGACCACATGACCACAGAAATGTCTTCAGACAATGTTGGCTTCCTCAGCTAAGAAACGAAGATGAACACTGCCCCTAGAGTCGACCTCGATTGGACGGGGGAAACCTTGACTTTTATATACTAGTCATTTCTATAACAACAACCCTATCTAATCAGCAAAACCCAAAATCAACGTTTCACTTTTTTCTATTTCAAGCACAAAACCCAAAAGCAGTTTCCAAATAGAAACAAAATTAATTATATTCATTTCTTTAATCAAAGCAGTCAATATAGCCATCTCTGCTAACTCCATCCATTTTTTGCGGCCATTCGTCCATTGCAAGAATCAAAGTGTCTTTTCATTTTTAGAGTTCTATTGATTATCGTATTTAGTTGGACATAATCTGCTCATATTGAGATACTACTGAATATATATTCTTCTTTCCAGGATTCTGAAAGGAATGTCAAAAAGATGCAAGACTGCTTTGAAATCTTGGAAGAAAAAATATTCAGAATAACGGTAAGAGCTATCACCATTTTACTCTTATTTCCCATTGATTAAATCTTCATTAAGTGGCATTCTAACTTCTATCTCTTATCCTTCCTCTGCCTGTTCTCACACAAAGACTGAACTCCATTTCCACTGTACCCAATCTATCAGTGAACTTGTATATTATTGCAGAAATTAGAGGAGCACCTGTTTGGGGATCCAGGAGGTCTTGATATAGAAAGATGAGTTATAAATCTAGTACAGGGGTCTTCAAACCTGGCCCTTTTATGACTTGTGGACTTCAATTCCTAGAATTCCTCAGCCAGCATGCCTGGCTGAGGAATTCTGGGAGTTGAAGTCCACAAGTCATAAAAAGGCCAAGTTTGAAGACCCCTGATCTAGTAGGTTCCTCAGAATAATTTCTACCCGAAGAACTCTTCTCTTGTGCTGCTGATCTTTGTAAAACAAACTGCTTTTAAGACCCAAGAAAACTATTCTATGGGTAAAATAAAATATTTTTTTCCAATTCTTTATAAGAAAATTCTCAGAGTTGTCTCTTTAGCCAACTTGCTAGTGTATTTCTTCCTCTGAAGGATGATCAGGAAGTTCTTTTTTTTTCCTTTGGCAACTCTAAACAGATGCTGCAAACTGGCCCCATCTATTCTATTTGGAGGGTTTTTCTGGTAGTCTCCCTGATCAAGACTGTTGGTGAGGCTGCTTGGCATAATGGCAGGGCACCTAGAAGCAACTGCATACTTTGGAACATTTGGTATCGGGTGTCTTCAGATTATGGTAAAAAAAATACCTCACAATGGCAGTGATAACAGTGTGACTGAAACTCCATTTCTTTTTTAGAATATTGCACTTAAAAGATGGACAGTGTTGATCATGCCATTGTGGCTGCCATTTTGAGGTGGTGTTGTTTTTTTAATCACACCCTGCAGAAATCTTGCACAGCTCCTTTTCCCCAGCTGCCTGTGAATATATAATGAATGTTCTGCTCAGAAGACCAGTGGTGAGGGGGAGGATTAGAGCAAGGACAGACCTAATGTTCAAGAATGGGTACAGTAGCTTGTTCACATGAATGAAATTCACAAAATGCACTGAGTGTTGGTTGATCAAGACGTGTTTCTTAATAGCACTAGATTATGATCCTTTTATGAAATTTTGTTTTATTCCTGCTATGATTTCAGTGATTTTAAGAAAATCACTGATTTTAAAAGATGAAAACTTTAGTTAATTCCAGCCTGCTTCCTTTTTATTTCAGGAGGTTCTGAAGAAATTTCCAGAGCTGAAGAAAAGATCTGAATATTTCATAAACATCTCTCTTCAGATCAAGAATCAGTTTGATAGCAAGAAAGCCCTAATAGCCAAGTGGCTTCCTGACATTTCTCCACGGGAAGCCAATCACCTCAAAAAGCTTCAAATAGAAAATGAGCGCATAAGTAACAGCCTCTACGGCTTGTTGAACAAACTTCAGGTACTAGTTTTAAATAGTATATCGTATCACATCTTAAACTATTGCATGGTTTGTTTAGTTTTAGTTTTCTATGTATAGGTGGACCATGGTTTACAACTGTAATGGAATCTGCCCATTCAGGTCATAAATTATGACCGTCGTAGAACAGGTGATCACACGAGTGATCCAATTATACAACATTTTGGGACAGTTCAGTAAATCACCATGGTCATTAAGTGAATCTTGGTCATTAAGTGAATCCATTGTTAAGTAAACTTAACAGGTTGATGCTAGTTTCCAGCATAAAATGTGATAAATCCCAGTCATGTGACCATACATCACTGTAAATGGTTGCAAACAACTGAAATGTGGTCGCATGATTGCGGGGTGGCCATAGCCGTCAGAAATTCACAGCAAGGTTATAAGTACCATTGGGTTTTGTCTGTGGTAACTTTGGTCACTAACGACTGGTCATAAGTCAAGGACGATCTAAATCTATCCTTTGATGTTAAACTATGATTTATGGCTTAGTGGGCCTTACAAACTCAGTTGTGGCTTGATTAGGAAATTTGGTTAGACAAATTCCTAGATTAAAATCATGTGTGAATCTTGTCAGTTCTTTTGTATATATTTCTTTACAGGTAGTCCTCCACTTACAACCACAATTGAGTCCAAAATTTCTGTTGCTAAGCAAAACAGTTAAGTGAGTTTTGTCCCATTTTACGACCTTTCCTGTCACAGTCAGTGAATCGTTGCAGTTAAGTTAGTATCAGAGTTGTAAAGTGAATCTGGCTTCCCCATTGACTTTGCTTGTCAGAAGGTCGCAAAAAGGTGATCACATGACCCAGGACACTGTAACCGTCATAAATATGAGTTAGTTGCCAAGGGTCCGAATTTTTATCACATAACCATGGGGATGTTGCAATGGCCATAAATATAAAAATATGTCACTTTTTTCAATGCCGTTGTAACCTTGAACAGTCACTAAGTGTAAATATGTTCAGATTTTAAAGAAGCTCTGTCTTGTATCAGAGCAGAGGTCTATCTAGCTCAACCTTCACCAGCATAAGGCTCCTCCAGCCATGAGCACTTCAGCCTCCAGAATTCCATAGCCAGCTATCCTTTGTTGAGAATTTGAGACAATGTCTATATATATCTGGAGGGCACCCAGGTTGGGAAAGATTGATCCAGTCCACAATTCTGTTGTTCGTAGACAAAGTGGTGTCTTAGGAACGGTCAATACTGCACCTCAGGAACAAAACAGCGCTAACTCTCTTCAAAGATGAGCAACCTAAGATTCAATAAGTGGAAAAACAGGCCATTGCAATTTTTAATAGGGATGAAAGCCCATGTTAAACAAGCCAGGTTTTGTGGCACCTTTGAAAGCTGACCAAACTTATTATAAAGTTAAAGTTTACTTATGGAGCAAAGCTAATATGGTGTGCAGCTTATCCCAAGATAAATGACTAAACTCAACTAGATTTTGAGCACTTATGTTCGGCTAATTAACCTTCATCTTCAACAGTACTTTTTTACCTGCTTGTGTGACAAAAGAAAGGAATACTACACAAACGTCAGCAAGTACACAAAGGAGCTGCTTGATGAGCGAAGAAATCAACATGTAATGCAAATGCAAGTTCGGCAACTCGGAAAGCCTCACTTGGAACAGCAGGGAGATGGATCCCAGCAGTCTGGTGTCTCTGGACTGATCCAGAGCTTGGATGGCCTCACAGAGGTAATGCTTTGCCAAAGGTTGCCTGTTTGGTGCTGGGGAAAGCAACGTTACCAGGACATTGCTATATCTCCAAGCACCATTTACAAACCTCTCTCTCAATTAAACTACAGTTCAAAAGAATTAAATGGCCAAAATAACATGCGATTGGAAAAATCTCACACAGTCTCACATTTGAATAGGGAAATATCTTAAGCATTGCACAACAGGACCTGAAATATTTGCTACCCTGTGTTGTGGGGTGTGGTAATAATTCCCATCATCTACTGATTTTTATTTTTATTTATTTAGAAAATGTATATTTGTTGCTTATACAACAATAAAAACAATATCCTTGCAGCCCCCTGGTGACAGCAATCCGTCAAACAAGCCACTTATTGGGTTCTATCCCACTCTGGGTTCCCCAGGCCTGTTGGCAAATCCAGGTCCTCAAAGCTTTGTGAAAGAGTGTCAAATTGGGGGCCAGTCTAATCTCTGCGGGGATTATGAGTTAAGGTCACTCTTTAGAGCTGGAGACTCGTGTTCCAGAAGCCAATAGACAACTAAGGCTGATGCCAGAAGATTCTGCCCCTGATCCACAATGATAATGTACAATGCCATTCAGAGGCCAAGGTCTATCAGAAGTCAGTGAAGGACTAAGAGCTACTGGGTTTTTTGTTTTTGTTTTTTTTGCTGTTACTAGTCATTGCATCTTTTTCATCTGGATTCAGAAGGAAAAATACCTATGCTTCATTGAAGATAGGTTATCAACAAAGTTAAAACTTTTTACCTTGATGTAACAATAGATGTCACTGCTCAATCTTGCTTTTCTTTCCAAGAGAGCTCAGAGCAGTTTGTGAGAGAAGAACCATCATATAAAATGTTGAGCATTCTATTTGACAAAAACAAAGATGTGTATTTACATAATTCAGTGTGTGGGCTACCTTGCCAATTATATTTGAGATGGCACAGCAGAAGAAATACTAAACCAGACTTAAGAGTTTTTCCTAGAGGCTGTAATTCAAGGTAGAACATTTTCCAAAGCCACTCCTTGGCATGTCCAATTAAGACTTGTAGGAAGAAAATAATTTATCTGTTGATATTTCATTCCTGCTATGATGTACTGTGCACAGGTGGGAAGATAAATCAGATTAAAGGTTTCCGTTCAGTGCTTAGTGAGCTAGAAGGGTTAATATTGTATCTTTGTTAAGAGGTTTCTGCATAAATTTCTTCTCAATTACTATGCTGCACAGTAGACAAAAAATAAATCACAGTATGTCTTGACAAACCGGCTCATTTTTATGTATTTCTTTGCACAGCAAATTTCAAAAGAAGTTTCTGAAATGGAAGAAGAACTCAGTGGCACAGAAGTTACATTACAAGAGTTGGAACGTGAGAACATAGAGATGGAACAGTATTTGGAACAATGCTCAGATCATTTTGATTTGCAAGGCTTTGAGGCAACAATAAAGCAAAATATTGAAAGGTTTCGGTCCATTAATCAACTCCTACAGCCCAAAGCTCAGGTATGAAATGCAGGTTTAAAATGTGTAGTACAATATTATTGTTTGTGTCTTGTTAAGGGTGGGCATGGAGATAATGCTGTACATGTAGTTGTGTGTTTCTTATAGCTTAATAATCCAAAGTAACTTGGACTATTGGACATGTTGATGAGTTTATAGAAACTGACTTCTGATGTAATTGAATTTCTCTATGTAAGAGATAACAATGTAACATACCTGCCCCAACATTTGTTACTCCCTTTATATTACAGCCCTATTTTCAAGTTAGATTGGAGCTGGAAGCCATAAACGCCAACTACTGCAGAGACATTGATGCTACCCTGGAAGCATGTAGAAAAGAAACAAAGGAATTGATTCTGCAGTTAGATATGTTAAAGAAAGAGCAAAAATCCTGTGGTGTTGCTAATAAGAAACTAGAAGAAGAAGACCATAAGCTAGGATATAAACTGAATGCAACAGAACAAGATTCAAAGGTGTGATTTTGTTAAACTCCTATTTGGCACCTTAGTCTGATGTCTCTTCATTTGTCTAATTTGATTAATGCTTAGTTCTTTTCTATGCAACTTTTCCTAGTATGCCATTTATTAAATTTCTATTTAGTCTCTGCTTTCCTAGATATGTGATGTTTCCAAATCCATTCTAATTCTTAAACAGGTTTCCTGACAGTATATTAGTTTTATCCAACTTTTCTAGTTGAAGAGGGCAGACGGTAGAAAATTTGGGTCATCAGTGTGGCAGACTTTGACAAATCATGACAGTTTGTTTTTTTAAAAATCTACAGAACGATGCTTTTAAATCTATGGTGGCTGGAAATACGATGTTGTTAATTTCTGCCATGTGAAAACACAAAGAAAGAGGTGTTTTCCCAATAGATGCATGAAGTGGCACTGAGTTACCTTCTACAAATGAGGAAGTGTACTTTCGTTTTTCTTATATTCATTCTCTTTTTTGATGCTGCAGCTCTAACTATTCTAGTAGAAATGGTCTGTTTTTCAGGCCACACTTTTCTTATAAAGAACCCAGCATTCAAAATATTGGCGTTATTGTGATTGATCTTCAGAGCTTCAGATCCATTTACTGGAGCTCTGCAGGTTTCAGGGTCTCCCCTTATCACCAATAACAGCTAAACATTTTCTCCACCTTAGAAAAGAGAATCTGGAAGAGCTGTTCCATCTTCCAATAACAAACTTCTTTTGTTCAAAGAATCTACAGTTGAAAATCCAAGAACTGGAGAGCATAATAAATGAAGGAAGAAAAAATCTCCAGGAAAAGGAGAAAATAATAGTCACACTAGAAATGAAACTTAAAGTGAGAGCTTCCAGGAGCGAAGTCGTCAGGCTTCAAACCGCATTAGAGGAAAAAGAAAATTGCTTAAGAAATGCATTAAGCGAGAGAGAAACACTCAAGGTACTGTGTGCATTAACATAAGTGATATCTTTGCTTTGATGTTTCATGTTGGGAGTAAAACATTGTTCAAAATCATTTTTAGATTCATGCGATTCACACATGTAAAAATGTTCAAAATCATTTTTAGATTCATGCGATTCACACAAATGCCTCACACCCTCAAACTTCCTCTCTGCAATTCTCGTATAAAACTCACACAATGTTGTTCTGGGTTGCTGGACATTGGAAGGCAAGTTTGCACAAAAGGAACCATCAGCTCACAGTGCTATGCTTCCTTCCAGTCTTGCCCTGCCTAGCTCTTTGAGGCTAAACACCACTCCTCCTTAAAGAAAATTAAAATCCTCTACAACTTTGATCTGTTCTCTAGCATTCTCTAGCATTTTTATGCAGTTCAGTTATTTGTCAAACAAAACCATGGAAGCACAATTTCCTGCAGATCAATTATGGCACCAAGTGATTTGACAGGATGCTAACTGCTCTCTTGCTGGATCCAAACCTTCATTTGAAAATGGTCCTAACATCATTACTTTAATCTGAAGAAAAATGTAGTGTTCTTACTAAAAAAAAGTTGATTAATTTGTAAAAATGATTTCATTTTCTAAACTTAATGGCATATTGGGCACTTGGAAATATATAACTGTTGTTTTCCCATTCTCAAGAGATCATGTTTTGTTTTCTTACTAGGCCCAGGTGGATAAAGGTGTTGGATTATATAAAGAGGAAATTGAAGATCTGAAAACTCAGCTTGCTAAAGCTGATATGACAAGAATGAAGCAATCCAAATTGTTTGATCGAGAGTAAGTTCCATTTCATTGAAAAAGGCAATTCTATAGAGTAATAGACTCCATGTTTAGACAGACCACTACCTAAAGCAAGAAGCATTAATCCAATACCTCTTGGCATCCTGGAGAGGTCCCTTGAGATGACATCTATAGGATTTCAAGTTTTTTTTTTTTTTTAAAAAAATAGCAATAATGCCTATATTTTTTCATGATTTTGGTCTTCTCACCTGAAATTTCAAGATAGAACTTTCCAAATGTCACAAGATCTCGGCTGTTTTAAGGGTTTGTTTTAATTTCTGAACCTGAGCCACTAAGTAGAGACCTTTGCAGATCACTTTCTGGTAATCAAGTGCTTAGGGCTTACCTGTTCAAGAGTGCGGGAACAGCTTAAGAGAAGAATTATGCTTCTATGATTTAACAATTATTTATAGTCCCAAATTGTTCTGCATCCTCCATTCACAATCATTCAGTTATACTAGAGGATTGAAAACAAAACAAGTCCTTTGTGCAGGAATCTTACTAAAGTCCTAACTAACAAGCTACATGTGCTGTGGACCAGGCAACCAGACATTTTGATATTGCCTCAACTCTTTGAAACATTCCTCACCCCACACTTGCAGGAAGTACGCATAGCCCAATCCTACTTATTTTTATGTAAACAAAATGAATCTATTCTGCTTGAACACACTTTTGAGCCATGGTTGTTTTGGGGCATCCAATTATAAGGTTCTAATTTCTATTTCTATTTTAAATATATAAATTGTATGTTTTACTTTTTGTCAGCCATTCAGAAGCATCAGGGTCTAAAATTAAATATCCTAACTATAACCAGGCAATCAGGCCAATCTTTGGAGTTTGCATGGATCTTTATAAAAGTAGGATCTAGTTAGGATGTAACTAGTTAGGATGTAATCTCCTGGGCCAATGCAACAAAGGCCCCATGTCTTTTACTCATTGTCCAATTATTGTTTGTAGACAGGTACATAAATAAGGCCTCTCTGATCATGTTCACAGGTATAAGTCAAGGTGGTCCTTCAAATAATTTGGATCCAAACAGTTTCAGGCTGTTAAAGGTGAATTCTAGTACTTAAGTTTCGGCTCAAAAACACACACTGACAATCAGCAACTAGTCGACATATGTTTTACATAATCAGGTCATCAGCTGCAGCAATAGCTGTTTCAAATTTGAAATGTTTTGCCACTCTTGTGTCTGCCTCTTTAGCCTATTGTAGTCTTTAACTGAGCCCATCTTAAAACAGAACACTATTTATTTTTTTAAGAATTCATAGAGGAGACAAATCTAGAAACAATGTTTGTATTTGAATCAGGGAAAAAAATTGGTCTCTTCTATTTAAAAATAAAAATCAAATCAAATGAAACATGAACTCTTGAGCGTATTGTGGATCCAGAATTGACAGATGGATGAATAGATAGTAATTTTTCCAACATATATTATGGTACTGGAATAATCTTAGATTGTCAACAAGGCTTTTAGAAAATTTGTAGCTGAATTCAACCTTATTTGTTTTTACAAAAACTAATTGTAGACTAAGATCATTAATAATTTCATTTAAAACTGAATTTTCACTGTTCTAGAATGGCAAATGCCAAAGCTCTGGCAGATCATCGGGAAGAGCAATTAAGAAAGTTGAAAGAAGAACTTCGTAAAGCACAACAAGAACAGGATGTAACAGGTAAATACAAACCAGAGTGCTGTCTCCTGGCTGTATGAAATAGGCGTTTAAGGAACAGCATTAAACAAACGATAGTCAAACAGGAAAACATTTTCATCTTTCAAGCACATTCTTTCATGTGTTCCAAAAGTGCTAAGAAATATTTTCAGGGTTATTTTGACAAAGTCCTACTTGAATATATTTATGTTGATAAATTTCCATTAGTGCTAGCTCCTTTTAATCACCTCAGTCATTTACAATCATAAAAGTTGGAAGCCTCCAATCCTGTGATAAAACCTTCACCCTAAACCACTGTTTCTTGAATGTGTGGTCCCAAATTATACCATGTAATGAAATGAGGTGATTTTGAAAAAACACTGTGACGTTTGGGTGGTAATATTGTCATTGGCAAAAGGCTTACAGTGCTGGATCTTTTCATTTTCAGTAATGTCTAACATTCCTCAGCCATCTCTACCAATTACTTGTGGTGGCGGTAGTGGAATTGTACAGAATACCCATATGCTAGTATTAAAATCTGAGCATGCAAAGCTGGAAAAGGAATACGCTCAACTCAAGAAAGAACACGAGCTACTGTTGACGTAAGTCATCATATTTCACCTGGAAACATAGCTTACAATGATTGTACGTGTATGGATTTTTCACACAGAACAAGTAAATTTATCTAAAAGTTGATTAAGCTGTCCACACATTTGAAGATATTGGCCTGGCAAGATCCAAACATAGAGGGCTTCGTAAACTACAGTATATTGTGGAGCTGGTGATTAGCTTTGGCATGCTTCCCAGTTTTATCACATTTTTGGGGTTGTTTTGCACCAGCAAATGAACTGTTGACTTTCAGGAGAAAAAAAAACTTGGTGTTTTTTTTTAGTGTTCACATTTAGAAAGCTGATGTTTTGGATGTCTTCTGGTGAGGTTCATCCATTAAAGCTAGCATTGGATGATGCCAAGGAAAATGTCTGTGGGTACATTGGTGCCTGTGAGTGAGGACCATCACTTTTTTTAGGATCGCATCGTAATTAGTGTTTAGTAAGCCCTGGGGAGTTTGGAAAAAAAATTAAAAGTTTCCAGCAAAAAACAATATTTGCCCCAAATTCATGATCTAATTCATAATGGCTTTTCCTGGGATCACGTTTCTTACTTGCCAGCTATCCATATCCTGAAAACAGGAAGTTAAATTTCTAAGTAGACAATCTTTTGCTGGCTGGTAGCTAAACTTAAGCGGCTGAAGATTGCAGTAGATTGACTTGTTTCAGAATGGGCAAGAGTTACATTTTCCCATTTCTTCTGAGCGTTGGGGGTGCAATTCTTTTTTAAATATATATATATATATGTATTAGGACTTAGAATGAAATCCTCATTACAGGTAGTCCTTGACTTGCAACCATTTGTTGAGTGACCATTTAAAGTTACAATGGCACTGAAAAAAGTGACTTATGAAAGGTTTGTACACGACCGTTGCAGCATCCCTGTTGTCACGGGATCAAAATTTGGACACTTGGCAACTGGTACATATTTATGATGGTTGCAGTGTTCCAGGTCATGGGATCCTGTTTTCCGATCTTCTGCAAACCAACATCAATGGGGAAGCCAGATTCACTTAAAACTGGCAGGGAAGGTTACAAAAACTCACTTAACAATTGTCTTGCTTAGTAGTGGAAATGTTGGGCTCAATTGTGGTCGCAAGTCAAGGACTACACTAGACCTCAACTTACAACAGTTCATTTAGTGGCCATTTGAAGTTACAACAGCACTGAAATAAGTGACTTAGCATTTTTCGCACTTACAGCTGTTCAGCATCCCCAGGGTCACATGATAAAAATTCAGACACCTGGCAACTGATTCCTATTTATAATGGTTGCAATGTTCCCAGGGTCTTTTGCGACCGTCTCACAAGCCAAGTCAGATTCACTTCACAACCACATTACTAACTTAACCACTGCAGTGATTTAGTTAACAACTGTGGCAAGAAAGATCGTAAAATGGGACAAAATTCACATAACATTCTTGCTTAGCACTAGAAATTTGGGGCTCAGTTGTGGTCATAGGTCAATAGTGGGTCAATAGTGGGAAATTATTCTACCAAGTTTTAACAATTATGCCAAGGGCCTGCACCAAAGATCACAAAAGGGAGTTTGGGGGGGTCACAGGTTGCCCATCTTGTTATAAGTCATGAATGCATGGATAACAAAAGGACAAGCATGCAAGTCTGGCAAAAAGCCAAGTGTAAGCATTTCTTAGAAAAAGAAAATGGACAGGCTCTGCAGAATAAGGAAAAAAAATATCTGGGCACCAGGTGATTAAATATATCTAATATATGTTTTAAGAAATGGGCTTTCCTTGAAAGAAGAAATTAAGAAATGGAAGGAGCGAGCTATGAAGAAGAAGGAGCGTGCCTTGGGAGACACAGCTGAGGAGCATAAAACCAAATCTCCAAGGAAAGTGTCAACTTCATCTCTTTTGGCATTGCCAGCCTCTCCCTGCAGGGAGCGCTCCACGCAGCCAATTTTGCCTTTGGACACACCACAGTTGATGCCATCGAACAGCCAAGCAAATTTCTTTGATAACTCACGCTTAGGTGTTACTGCCAGTAAGTAGCAGCATAACACATTCTTAGATGCTAAGACAAAGGTCCTGTTTTAGAGTAAGGCTGTGTTGTGATCACACAAAAAACTGCTGTGTTTACCAGCTTGTTTTGGAAGGGTAGATTTCTGATCCATTTGCTTTTTCTATGGATTGCAAAAAAAAAAAAATCCTACAAAATGTAATGACCAGTGGTTAAAAAAAAAATCAGAAAATCATAGGATAGTTATTGTTTGTTCACTGCATGAGATAGCCAAGAGTTTATGATTTTATGAAATAAGGCACTGAGTTTTTACATGTTTAGAGGCTGTCCTTTCCAGCAATCCCTCACTTGATAACTGATGTACCTACATGATAACCTCATGTAACGATAGAAAGCAATAGGAAAAACATACAGCACAAGACAGTTCTTGCATATAGTAAGATCGGATTGTCATAGTTCTCCTGAACAACTTAGGAGACGGTTAGGATGCTGGGCTGACAATCGACAGGCTCACATTCGAGACCCAGTTGTTACTGCGAGATGGGTTGAGCTCTTGTCACATGCTCTGGCTCCTGCCGACCCAGCAGTTTGAAAGCGGGTGACCGTGAGTAGACAAATAGGTATCACTTTCATGGGAAACTTAACAGGGACATGAAAAGAGCCCCCAACAGGGTGTTTCCCAGGAACGGTGATATCACCATCACCGTTCAATCCTTTCAACCCAAAAGTACTTTGGTGCTCTTGACACGAATGTAGTAGTAGGTCTGAGAGAGCCACAGTTTAATTTGCCATTTAGCAAATTACATACCCAGGAAGTAGTGTGCTACCACGTGATTTAAGTAATCTGCTCACCTAATATGGTTAATAATCTCAAACTCATGAGAATTAACAGTGTGATGTTTTAAAAATGGAAGGGTTCCAAACATCTATCATCTCTAATTTAACCTATTCTCTTGTAGTTATATTGAGCTACTCAGATATTCGTAGTTATTTTTATTAACTTAATTACCAACTCTTCTTTCTAACAGACACAAGATCTGGCAGAACAGAATCCGAAGAAAACGACTTTAAACACTGGCTTTCATCAGACGATAAAGGAAATGTTTCTAATTGTAAGACTCAGTGACAGTCAGATTCTTTCATAGATGCTGGGCAAGACCGGCAGATGCCACTTCATTTTTCCTCTTCTGGCAAGATAAAACGGATGGTCTTTGAACATACGTTCCATCATGCTCATATGTGTTTCTTACTTTTATTTGGTGTATCCATTAGAAAACTCATTTTGTACTGTATTTTTAAACGCATAAATAAATAAAATACCTTTACATAAATATTTCTACTGGTTAGCAGTGTAATTTTCAGTTTGTTTGATTATAAGTGGGTTTGTTTATTTGCTTTTGTAAAATGAAGTCTATACTTCCTATTTGACCAAAGCCAAATTAGATCTCAATTTAAATACTTTCTATTTGATTTCTAGAATTCTCCCAAAATCCAAATAAGGTCAGTGTTATTAGATCTCCCCAGCTGGTAACATTTCTCAGATGTCTATATGTGCAATGATACATATGCATCAATATGCCCCCCCAAAAAATGAAAACTGCCTGATCATGACTATAGCTGAAATAATCTTGATAAAATATGAACAGTAGACTCAAAATCTTAAGCAGACATTTCACTGGATAGACAGGTTAGGAGTATGGAATCCTTAGTGCTCTCTGAGCTTAGTTGTTTTCTTGCAAATGTTTCATTACTCAACTAGATAACTTTTTCGGTACTAGAATGGGGTTTGCTCTCTGTTTATACAGTGTTTTGACCTGTCAATGTTGGTGAGAGTGTTGTTTTCTTGATAGTTTCTTTTTGGGGGGTTGTTTACTGTATCTTCCCTTGTGAATTTTATTCCTTTGAAGAATGTTATTTCATGTGTCTTCTCTAGTTGTTCCTTTTTTATAGTGACAAATGTGTCATCTACCTAGCAGATCCATATTTAGTTGTATACGTGGGAATTCTATAGTTTCTAGATGTCGCGTTAACATCTCTGCTGGGAGTTCTGATCCAGTGGATTCCGTGAGATTTAGGAATGTTGTTCATTAATTTATTTTCTTATTTTATGTACCCACCAGAAGCAGTCTTCTTAGCTTTTTGAGATAATGCAAAATTGGCTAGATGATGTCACTTAGCTGAGTTTACAGGGATAAAAAAATAATTGACTGTTAAAGCCTAGAAGATCTTCTAAAGGTAGAAGAACCATGTGCCAAAACCACAACAACCAAGGGAATAGGATTCCATAACTTAGGAACAATGCAAAGAAAAAATATGTTAAGACTCTAGAAAGAGTACAGAGAAGAGCAACAAAGATGATTAGGGGACTGGAGGCTAAAACATATAAGGAACGGTTGCTGGAATTGGGTATGTCTAGTTTAATGAAGAGAAGGACGAGGGGGGACATGATAGCTGTGTTCCAATATCTCAGGGGCTGCCACAAAGAAGAGGGAGTCAAGCTATTTTCCAAGGCGCCTGAAGGCAGAACAAGAAGCAACGGGTGGAAACTAAGCAAGGAGAGAAGCAACCTAGAACTAAGGAGAACCGTCCTAACAGTTAGAACAATTAACCAGTGGAACAACCTGCCTCCAGAAGCGGTGAATGCTCCAACACTGGAAGTTTTTAAGAAGAAACTGGACAGCCATTTGTCCAAAATGGTATAGGGTTTCCTGCCTGAGCAGGGGGTTGGACTAGATGACCTCCAAGGTCCCTTCCAACTTTATTATTATTATTATTATTATTATTATTATTATTATTATTATTATTATTATTATTATTATTTTGTACATGCTCAATCATTGGACTTCTGAGAACAAGGATATTGTATGAAGGGCCTCTCTTGCTGATCTTAAAATCAGAGTAGGACTTTTAAGGATTTCTGGAATCCACAGAAATACTATTATTTGATAATATAGCCATACAGCTCCCACCCTGATGAGATTCTAAAAGTCTTTGAAAATCTGGCTATTCTCCCAGGCCTGGGGCTACAGTAGAGGCTGTGCTCCTCTTAGTAGTTAGGATTCTTTTCAATATTGCATATTGTTTTCCAGACATGCATGGTTCCTTTCAGCTTGTTTTTATGGTTTTCCCTTATTTTTAATTGTATATCACCAGGTTCATCTGGAGCCAGATGATCTAAAGTTAATAAATAAACCAGTAAGAATTTTTTGTCCAACTAGGTGCCAGCATCTGACAATAGCTGATCTAGAAAGCTAAACAAGATTAAATGGGTGACCTCTGGGGAAATCCAGAATTTTCCATAGACCAAGAACAGAAAAAATAAGCTGCAAGTGCAGTGCAAAATATTCTCTATCATACCAACAGTCTGGCAAGAATCAACCATGACTAGAAAGTTGTATTAGAGCAGTGTTTGTCAACCTTGACCACTTGAAGAGGTATGGGCTTCACTTCCAGAACTGAACTCAGATCCTTTAAGAATGTCATTTTCATTTTCTTCATTCAGTCTTCTTCAGATTGCTGTATTCTTGCTATACAAGTAGCTCTCAACTTATTGTCATGGCCCCCCTCAGAGGCTGGTTCAGAGGAGGAGAAGAAAGTTGGAGCTGGAACCGTCCGACAGGGAAGGCATGCCAATGGCTGATGATGAGGCCTAGGGGCCTCTCAGGCATTGGAGGTGGTCGACCAGATGAGAGCTGCCTGCCTGCACAGACACGGGGAGGATCAGTTGCTGACAGGCAGTGGTGCTGATAAGCAGCAGATCCCCTCTGATGAGGAAGAGCTACCTCCTCCACTCGATCCAAGGGCACGGAGAGTGGAGCGTAGGCAAGCACAGAGAAGGGCTGCAAGGCTATTCGGGAGGAGGTCGCCTCACCCCTCCTCACACGGAACACCTGGAGGGGAGTATCTTAAGGAGAAGGGGGGGGTAGTCTTTTCCAGGAACAATTGTTTGCTTTGGCTTACATGCCTCCAGCTTTTACTTGTGCCTGTTGCTGTTTGCCTTGCCTCACTTTGAAGCTTGCTCTTCACATTTTGTTTTGGACCTCACCCTTCTCTGATGGCCATGTTTGCCCTTTGCTTCACTGGGGCATTGGAACTGCTTCTTTTCTGTGACCTGTTTCTTGTCCTGAGGACTGTCCTTTTATTGTGCCTGGACCCTGCCTGGTGGATGGGACTTGGAACCCTGGACTTTGCCCTGTGAGCATACTCCTCCTCTGTGGGCTTCCTTTGTACTATTGGGGCTGTGTTTGGGAGTCTGAGGGTGGAGCCTTACTGGTTGTTGGAGGACCATTGGCTGAAACATTTGTTAAGAGAAATAAAGGAATCTCAAGAGGCCTGCCTTGCCTTGACCACCTGGGTCATAATACTTATAACCATTCATTTAATAACCATTCAAAGTTCAAATGGGACTGGAAAAAGTGACTTACACCTGGTCCTTGCACTTATAATCAATGCAACACACACACACACACCCCGTGGCCAAAATTCAGGTGCTTGGCAACGGGCACATATTAACAGTTGCAGCATCCCAAAATCATGTGATTGCCATTTGTGACCTTCCCAGCTAACTGACAATCAAAGTCAATTGGGGAAGCCAGATTCACTTAATGGCCATGTGATTAACTTAATAACCATAGTGATTCCCTTAACCATAGCAAAAAAAGGTGATTAAATTGGGCATGACTCACTTAACTGCCTTGTTAACAACAGAAATGTTGTACCTAATTGTCAAGTCAAGACTGCCTGTAATATGTCAGACTACTGTTAGAATGTTTAGAAAGAATATTCTATTTGCACATTTACCCTCTTTATTAAGGCTCGGAAACCATGCCTCATTTTGTTTTGTTTAGGATTAGGTGGTCGCCTTACTCTTGACAGGCCTTGAAAGTAGCTTACCCTAAGTAAGTGAGATAAGGTATACATAGCTTTTCCTTAGATAAATGTATTCCCAGAAAATTTAGAGAGGTCTAGCATGAGGGCTGATTGTAATGTATATAACCTGGGCCTTTTCAGTTAGGTCTTCAATAGTTTGCTGTCATCCCTGGTCTTTTCTTTATCCCAGCTCGGAATAAAGAAGGGACTTGGTAAGGAATAAAAATATTACAGTACTGCAATTCCAGCCAGGGAATTCTGGGAACGGATGTGCACATGGCTTCAAGTTGCAAGATTGAGAAACATTGCTGGAAGGTTGCTATTGTGAAAATCAGGAGGAATAGCACTCTTGGTAATGCAAAAAAAGGGGGGGCGAAGGAAACATTATTTACATATAAGGAAACAGGTATGTTACCCTAGTGACATGGGAACATATCAGTGCCATGATAAACTGCATCTTCTAATTTTTTCAACTGTCAAGAATTCCTAGCAGGATTCTTACTGTCTGGGAACTCCGGTCTAACATCCTATAGCAAGAGTATAACAGTTTGAAAAAGGCTGGATGGAGAAAATGGGAATGACGTTCTTAAAAACTGGCGTCCTAGTTCATTTCTGCATGAGGGGTGAGGTTCACTCTCAGCTATCCACATCTTTCCCACTTTCATTAACCAACAGCTTTCTGCAAACAAGTAACTTTGATGCAGCCAAATAGTTTGAAATCAGCACGTCACTAGATGGCAGTATAAACTCTACCGTGCGGGAACGCTAAAATAATCTGCCACCTTCTTCACTACAAATCCCACCATGCTTCAGAAAAAAGAAGCCCGCCTCCTGGTGAAAGTCCTTGCTGGATTCCTGCGGTGAGTTTCTCCTTTGCATTCATGTTGTGTTTTTTAGTGCAAAGAAACTCTATGAGAAGCATGCGAGAGTAATTTCGGTTTTGCAGAGTATTTTTTGTACCGCCTGAGGAAGAAAGACGTTTGAATTGCATTAGGCTTTGCCATGTAAGATATTGGAAGCCAAAGCAAACAGCTTCACCCATACTTCCTTATGCCTAAACTACGTGTTTTCTCCGAAGAGCTGATGGAAACCTTGTTTCCAGTCTTATGAGAAAGGTCCCCAAAGATTAAGCTCCATAGTGAATTGCCTCACGTCATTAAAGACTAGTAGATATTTAAATTCCCATGTGCTCTTTTAAAGGGGCAAGCAAAATGCAAGCAATTTATAGCTGTGTTTGCTCAACACATTTTCTCACTGTTAACCAAACTGTGCTCTATTCAGTCCAGTCCAGTTTACTGTGTCTGCTGATTCATAAGCTAAAGAAGGCTGACTAAGCAGAATTAGCATGAAACTTTAGTACTAGTTTTGTTCAGCTTGCTTCAGCCCGGTGCCGTCATATTTCCATTCCTATAATCATTCTTTTAAGGATTTATGAGAGTGGAAGTGTGGAGAAAATCATATTGGAGAAGATTGTTTCAGAAAATATTGCCACATTATTTTACATTTCTTGGCTGGTCCTGGGATATGTGAACTCAAGCATTTGAGAGAGTTAATATTTTTATTTTATAAATATTGATTCATTAAAGTTTTTCAATGTCTTTAATTACCGTATTTTCCGGCGTATAAGACGACTTTCTAAACCCTGAAAATCTTCTCAAAAGTCGGGGGTCGTCTTATACGCCCAGTCGTCTTATACGCCGGAAAATACGGGTATTCAGGCAGGCTTCCAGAGTTCGGCTGGCAGGATGCAGGTAACCCCTCCCCCCGTCCTGCCGCCTCCCGCCGCACCGCGTCCCGCGCCTCCGTGTCTCAAGCCTCTGTGTTATGCTTGGGCGGAAGACTTTTTCTTTTACAGATGGGGCGGGTGGGCCTGACATTCGCGCGCAGGCAGGACCCCGCCCGCCGAGCCACCGCTTCCCCATCGCCCTCCACGCCAGTCTGCTCCGTCTCCAGACCTCCCAGCTGACGGGCGCAGGTCCGGGGGTCGCCAGCTGACGGGCGCAGGAGTTCGGCGCTGCAGCGGCCTCCGCTTCGCCCTCCGCACCGGCCAAAGCGTTGCCTGACGTTCCGGCCGACGGGCGCAGGTCCGGGGGTCGCCAGCTGACGGGCGCAGGAGGTAGGCGCCGCCGCGGCCTCC